AGCAAACTAGGTAAGCTGAATTGGGGGATTAGGGAGCAGAGTTGAGGCTCATGAGTGGCGTATGCATGTGTCCAAAACACTTATTGTTATGACCGTGTGGTGCCGTGTGAGATCTTTTAACATGAAGGAACAGCGGTGGCTTTAAAGTAGTTGCAACATCAACGGCAGTTTTAATTCTGTATTTTTTCGTGTTTGTAATTCTGTTTCCTCTTGTTGCATCAACACAGATTTCAGGGTGTTCTCTGCAATGTAGCAACTGGGGAGAATCATTCTATGTAAGAGCATGATTGTGTGTGTGCGTGCACTGATGTGCATTTCATTCTGCCCTTCTGTGACAAATAGAAAATGTACTTTTCTGTTTTTCTTTTGTTGCACAGTTGTTTATTTACCTGGATCTTATTTAAGATAAATTCCCCTTCAGCACCAGTTGCCTTGAAGAATGCACTCCGTGTTTAGTGTTTGTGCTGAGCCGTGCAGTTTGGGCTTGGATTCATGGCGGTGACTGAGATGTACTGCGATGAGGATCTGTGAGTCGTTGGTTGTACAGAAATGTACCTTTTATCTTATCTGCAGGATAAAAAGCTATTTGTCCTTTCAATCCTGGATTATTTTGACATCAATCTGACTAGTGCAATCTGCTATTTAACCCTTAATCCAATCTTTTTTATCTAAATTTTAACCCCATAACATCTGAGTTGCAAAATAGAAGAACTTGTCAGCATTTATTATGTCACTATACTCTAGCTGTGTGCATTGGAAAGTATGTAGTGATAAAATATTTACCAGGGGCAGCAGCAGCTCAGGAGGTAGAGCGAGTTGCCTTGTAATCAGAGGATGTGGGTTTGATTCCAGCTCCAGCATGGGTATGAGAGTTACTAATGATATTCTCATGGCCTCAGATAAGAATCTTGTGTCTGTTCTAGTCTTGTTAGATCTCAGTGCTGCCTTTGACACAGTTGATCAAAATGTTCTTGTAGAAAGACTTGAACATGTTGTAGGGATCAAAGGAACAGCGCTAGGCTGGTTTAAATCCTACCTGTCTGATAGATTTCATTTTGTAAACGTACATGACAAGTCTTCTTCATACTCCAGGGTTACTTGTGGAGTACCACAGGGTTCAGTGCTTGGACCAATTCTTTTTACTATGTATATGCTCCCAATTGGCAAAATCATTAGATAGCATGGGATAAACTTCCACTGTTATGCTGACGATACTCAGTTATATTTATCCATTAACCCTGATGAACCTAATCGGTTAGTTAGATTACAGACTTGTCTTGAGGACATAAAAAATTGGATGACTCTAAACTTTTTGATTTTAAATCAAGACAAGTTCTCATCTTTGGACCAGAAATCCAGAAAAGGAAATTGCTTAGCCAATCGCCTGACCTGAATGGCATTACATTAATCTCCGAGAACAAAGTAAGGAACCTTGGTGTTATCTTTGACCAGGACATGTCATTCAAATCCCAGGTTAAACAGGTTTGTAGGATTTCTTTTTTCCACCTTCAAAACATTGCCAAGATTAGAAGCATCCTTTCCAGCAGTGATGCTGAAAAACTAGTTCATGCATTTATTACATCAAGACTGGATTACTGTAATTCATTACTTTCAGGAAGTCCACAGAATGTAGTTAAAAGTCTTCAGCTTGTCCAAAATGCTGCAGCTAGAGTTCTGATGAGAATTAAAAAGAGAGATCATATCTCTCCTGTCTTAACTTCCCTACATTGGCTACCTGTTCAATTCAGAATAGATTTTAAGATCCTCCTTCTCACGTATAAAGCTCTTAATAATCAAGCTCCATCATACATCAGTGATCTGATTGTTCCATACGTTCCTAACCGAGCACTTCGCTCTCAGACTGCAGGTCTACTGGTGGTTCCCAGAATATCTAAACTTAGGATGGGAGGCAGATATTTTAGTTATCAGGCTCCTCTCCTGTGGAACCAGCTCCCAGCTTTAGTCCGTGAGGCAGACACTTTGTCTACATTTAAGAATAGGCTTAAAACATTTTTTTGATAGGGCTTATAGTTAAAATCAGACGTTAGCCTAAATCTGGACAAGTGGGGGAGTAGAGGGAGGTGGAGTGTACAGTCGGTAATGATGGCTCCCCCTTGCCCTGCCTCCAACATGCCTCCATCTAAAAGGGTAGGTTATCCAGAGTTATCTGTGTAGTTATGCTGCTATAGGCTTAGACTGCTGGAGGATACACTGACCACTTTTCACACTCTACTACTTTCTTCTACAATCTGCTCTTTAGCTGTATTATTTTCTGCAATTTCGGCTGTTAACTTTATTTTCTCTCTAAGTGTTTTTCTCCCCAGAAGAAGCTACAATGATGTTCTGCTGAGCTGTGGTGGCCTCATTGAGGGGGCCATCGTCTAGCACACTGCTGCTAACCACTAATACATTCTCCCTCTCCTGATAATAACTTTTTGCTTTCCTTGACGTTGCATGTGCTAATACTAGTTTACCCATTTAAATACAGATTCACTAGGATAAATACAATAAAGTTTATCTCACACCAAATGCAATAAGAAACCACAATGTAACCATAGACACATTGCTTGGTGTGTGTGTGTGTGCGCGCGCGCACGTGTGTGTGTGTGTGTGTGCGCACGCGTGTGTGTGTCTGTGTGTGTGTGTGTGTGTGTGTGTGTGTGTGTGTGTGTGTGCTCTGTCTTCTCGATCCCCAGTGAGTCGTGGAGGATGGCTGCTTATACTGAGCCAGGATTCTCTGGAGGTTTCTTCCTGTTAAAAGGGAGTTTTCCTCTCCACTGTCGCTTTATGCTTGCTTAGTATGAGGATTGCTGTAAAGCCACTGACACTAGTCAGTGACTTGATGCAATTTGCTGGGTTCCTTATATAGGAAACATTTTTTTCTGATTGGCTTGAAATGACCTGGATTGGAATGTTTACTATTTGAAGTGCCTTGAGATGTCTCTTGTCGTGATTTGGTGCTATATAAATAAAATTGAATTGAATTGAATTGAACTGAACTGAATTGAATTGAATTGAATATTCTGCTGTTCTTCTGTCCTTGGGCAAGACACTTAACCCAACGTGTGTGTTGGTGGTGGTCACGGGGGCCAATGGCGCAAAATGGCAGCCTCACTTCTGTCAGACCACCCCATATCGCCCAGCCCTAGAATGAGGTCGGTAAATACTGCTGTCAGACTTTGAAATGCATCACGCAAACTAAATACAGTAAATGTTTGCTTGTAAATTCTCAATAAGAATCAAAACATTGATTTTACGTATCTATTCAGTATTGTAACACAAAATATCACAATATGTTATATATTTTCTTACATTCCACTATTCTCTATAAAACCCATATCTGTGTTTTTAATGTTTTATGTGTTTGTAATTAATATCTCAAAATCATACCTCATTTATAAATAAAGGACCATAATTTCACACAGTTGTAGACAAAAATGGGCACAATTCCAAAGCTTCTTGTTTCTGGACAACCTTCCTAATGCTCACCAGTTGTTCCGTCTATGAGACCCTTACCATTGGCAATGTAGTTCTAATAAATCTATGGCGGACATTCTGTTCTTTTCATATAGGATTGGTGAAATGAGTCAATACTGAGGAAGACTTGCATCTGATTATTCCATAATAGATAGGAACTGATACTCAGTCTTCTCATCCTTTGGTAATTCTTTACTTATATTTCAAAAAATCGTCTAGAATTTTAATAAATCTAAATCTCATTGTGGATTCCTCTTTAAAAACCTGAGATGTTGGTGGCGTTTGCCAATAATAAACAAAACGGAGGCAGGTCTAAAAAAAACTACATGAGTGAATGGAATCGGAGTGGGATTGTCTTTTGGAAACACGGGAGAAAATCAGCACAGACCTGACACCAAACCAAGGAGATGCCTCGTCTTCCAGCTGATCCATCTGCTCAGTGCAGAGTTTTCTGATAGAAAATCTCGCTGTTTTTATGCCTGTCAAACTGTCATCCATGGTATCTTCTTGACATGCAACTGAGGAAATGGCAACACGTTTTTGCAGGAATTTTTTCATTATTTTGTGAAAACGCTGCCTGGACCAAAATGCTAAATATGTTATTTAACATTTTCTTTTGTGAAGTGTATTTTATTTTCAAGAACAAAATGAATTAAAATTCTTTTGTGATTACATGCGAACAAGGCCAAAGGTTTTATAATACGTTCCAGTTTCACCATAAAATCACTGCAGCATTTTGTCCTTTTGCTGATGATGTCATATATGTGTGTTTTGGGGTGGAGGAAATGGAGCAGTGCACGTCTGTCCCAGTCATGTGAAAAGTGAGACGCCACAGACCCGATTTTGATGAAACTCCAGGGAGTCATGCTTCACGTACTTCTGGCATTTTCAAAATGACTGTTTGGCTCCGCTCTAGGAGCAGCAATTACCTGGCAAACATTTTAATAACCAGTCATATCTCATATACTGCTGAGGGGCATATCTAGTTACTCATGCTGTACAAATTAGCCTCTAGGGCCAACACGTTCAAGCATATTGGATTGACCGCATTTTTGAGTTTCTCTGAAACCCGTTGTTGGGTTTGGTAGGTTTTTGTTTTTCTGGGTTTGTGGGGGGTGGTATTCTCATCAGGTCATCGCAGTGGCACCAATGACACATTACATCTTTAAACCATGTGTGGAAATGTCAAAACACACTTAAATTGGCTTTAAGAAAGACTTTAATGATAAACACACACCTGTAGCCTTTAAATGAACAACCATCAGACCACAATACATACAGAAATCCAACCAGTTTATGTAAAAGTTCTGTCTTTTAAGTTAAAATGTCTTTTTAAATTTAAAACAGCCTAATCCGTGTCTCCATGTCGGCTCTCACTGTGAGCAGAGTTGGAGATAAGTTTACAGCTTTGTATCGATTCCATTCCAAGAGCTTGTTGGAGTAAGTGTTCGTACAACACTGAGTGAGGTGTTTACAGTGTGTGTGTGTGTGTGTGTGTGTGTGTGTTTGTGTGTCCTTTACAGAATATCCCAGCGCTGCCTTGTGGAAAAGCCCTCTACTCATATGAAGGCAAGGAGCCGGGCGATCTTCAGTTTTCCAAAGGTGACATCATAATACTGCGACGTAAGGTGGATGACAACTGGTACCACGGGGAGCTGAATGGTTGCCACGGCTTCCTGCCAGCCAGCTACATCCAGCTGCTGCGTCCTCTGAGTCAAACTCCACCTCAGGGCAAAGCACTGTATGACTTTGAGGTCAAAGACAAAGATCAAGATAAAGACTGTCTGGCCTTCAGCAAGGTAGCACACACACACACACACACACACACACACGTGCACATACATGAACAGTGCCATTAAATTAGAGGCAGTGTACATATGAGCAGGCTGCACAGGCAAAAGAAGGAGAGATAAGAAGGATTGATGGAGAAGAATATAAATATTTTATTAGTGGAAACTATTTACCTGTCATGGGTAGTTTGTTTTACTATTAATTTAAAAGATGATGCTACATTTTTTTAATTTAATTCAGAAAATGTAAAAACTTGATTAAATAACATAATATATATAATATATGATACAATCTGAATGCAATCTTGTTGATGCTGAAGCAAGTTATTTGTATTTTTAACGTACTTTTTTTATTACAATATTTAAAAAAAATAAATATATAAGCAGGGGCGGATTAAGGACTGAAGAACATCCGGGGCTTAACACACGCGCGCACGCACACACACACTTGACACGCACTAGTCAACATCATATATGTCTTGTACCACATAATTTTTAATCTGAAGCTACATATTAAGCATTTTCAGGGCAGAGTATTGTTCCTGTTAGTGTTTAGTGTGAGATGATAGTAAATATTCCCTTTCTTTCTCCATCAACGTTACCTGATAGTAAGCAAACTTTAGGCAAACCAGCAGCACAACAAATATTTTCAAGTAAGACTCACAAACCTGAGTCAACACCAGTCTCATCATAGCTGGGGTTCTGTCGCCGTACTTTTGGTCTAAAAAACGTCCTTATGTCCATCTTCACTCATGCGTTTCAGGCAGAGACTGTAGAAGAAGCCGGCTGCTGAAGGGCTTCTTCTTCAGTGGTGGAGGCTCAGGCAGGCTGTATACAAACTACTGCCAGCTGCTCCCTCTCTGTTGGACTTTGGTACTGCATGTTACTTCCGCGATTTAGATCCAGGGCTTTCTATGAAACATCCGGGGCTTCAGCCCAAGTAGCCGGGCCTAACGCCGCCCCTGTATATAAGTATATATATGTATGTATATATATATATATATATTTATGTATATATATATATATATATATATATAGATATAGATATATATATATACATATATTTATGTATATATATATATATATATATATATATATATATATACATATATTTATGTATGTGCATTATATACAGTGGGGCAAAAAAGTATTTAGTCAGCCGCTGATTGTGTATATGTGTGTATGTATGTATATATATATATATATATATTTATATATATATATATATATATATATATATATATATATACATACACACACATATACATAGAGAGAGAGAGAGAGAGAGAGAGAGAGAGAGAGAGAGAGAGAGAGAGAGAGAGAGAGAGAGAGATTTGTTTTGTTTATTAAGGGAGAAACTATTTAAGAGACAAACATTTTGATTATTGTTGATTAAGGGCTTCTAATTAGTATTAGTTTAGTATTAGTATTAACAGTTTATCATGATGTTTGTGAAAATTGCAAGACATGAGATGGAATGGGTGTAAAAGAACAGTTAAAACAGCTCTGCTCTTTTGACCACAGCAGCTTTAATTGGTTGTGTGTTGTTCTGCTGCCAGTAACAGGGTTTCACTCTTTCTGTTAAGATTAAAAGCATTCAGCACTGGGATTAATTACTCTTGGCTGTCTTTGGGTTTTAAAGTGGAATCCTTTTTGATGTTTGTATTTTTACAGACTAAATCATTTGCATTTGGATACGTTTCAAATGTTTCAGGTTTGGAGACCTGCAATAATGCACTATAAAGAATGAAGATATAAATAAACAGAAAAACTTCACCTTGCATGTTTATTTTGTTCCTCAAATATTTCACTCACTGGCCACTTTATTGGATACACCTTGCTAGTACCGAGTTGGACCCCCTTTTGCCTTCAGAACTGCTTTTATCCTTCGTGGCATAGATACTGGAAACATTCCTCAGAAATGTTGGTCCATATTGACATGATGACTACTGGACTGAGATCTGGTGATTGTGGAGGCCATTTGAGTACAGTGAACTTGTTGTCATGTTCAAGAAACCAGTCTGAGCTTTATGGCATGGTGCATTATCCTGCAGGAAGTAGCCATCAGAAGATGGGTACACAGTGGTCATAAAGGGATGGACGATCAGCAGCAGCACTCAGGTAGGCTGTGGTGTTGTAACAATGATCAATTAGTACCAATGATCAATCAGTACTAAGGGGCCCAAAGTGTGCCAAGAAAATGTCCCCCACACCATTACACCACCACCACCAGCCTGAATTGTCGATACAAGGCAGGATGGATCCTTGCTTTCATGTTGTTGACGCCAAATTCTGACCCTACCAATCAAATGTTGCAGCAGAAATGGAGACCCATCAGATCAGGCAAGAGTTTTCCAACGTTCTATTGTCCAATTTTGGTGAGCCTCAGTTCCCTGTTCTTAGCTGACAGGAGTGGAACCTGATTTGTCTTCTGTTGCTGTGGCCCATCTACCTCAAGGTCGATGTGTACCTTGGTCGATGCATGGCTTGGTTGTAACGAGTGGTTATTTGAGTTACCGTTGTGTTCTATCAGCTCGAACCGGTCTGGCAATTCTCCTCTGACCTTTGGCCTTAACAAGGCATTTTCACCCACAGAACTGCCGCTCACTGGATGCATTCCCTTTATCAGACCATTCTCTGTAAACCCTAGAGATGGTTGTGCGCAGCAATCCCAGAAGATCAGCCGTTTCTAAAATACTCAGACCAGCCCGTCTGGCACCAACAACCATGCCACGTTACTTACATCACCTTTCTTCCCCATTCTGAAGCTTGGTTTGAACTGCAGCGGATCATCTTGACCATGTCAACATGCCTAAATTGCATTGCCATCATGTGATTGGCTGATTAGTAATTTGGGGTAATGAGCAGCTGGACAGGTGTACCCAGTACACAGTGAGTGTATATTGTTCCTGCTCTTTTAGTAGGCTCATCTAACCTGAATGGTGTTCAGCATTTCCACTTGGCACTTTTAATGTCTTCTGCAGAGATGGAAAGAGAGAGGTTGTTGCATTTTTGTGAACTGTTGACTTTGTTGCAGTCATTTGGAGACGAGTCAGATCCAGATGAACAGATAATGATTGCGATCAATAGAGTTCACTTCATTTCACGTCTCGGGGTTGAGCTAATCCACAAGTTTATGACCGAGGAGAACATTAAGCCGTCAGTGCACTCGGAGAGACACATGGTGGGCTGTGTTTGTGTTGTTACGCAGAACTGGTGAGTGTGATATTGCTTTCTCAGTGTGAGAGGTAATTACTTCAAATGACTAATATGCAGGCATTTAACAGCATTAATAACTGCCATCCCGAAATGGCCTGAACCAGGACCCCAAAGTAACGAGATGAGCAGGAGTGTGTGGGTGTGTGTTAAGAGCAACAAAGCACCTTGTGTGTGGAACACAATCGCAGCTTAAAGTGACAATGTGTAGTTTTTTACCGTTAATCTCTGGAAATATCCCAGTTGGAAAAATATTGGCACATTTGTAACGTACAACCATAAAAATCGGGTCTAAAATATATGGCAGGGGGTCTAAGCCTCTGGGTGACGCCATATTAGACACCATGTGTCCTTCCACGCGAGCCTGTGAGGACAAAATGCATTCACTGATTTCTAACAAACAGTTACAAAATTTTCGCCATCCGTAAACATTGTTTTACACATTTACCTCTTCACTTGTATCCAGTCATGAAAAAGAGTCTCATGCTTGAGGTTGCGCTCCCAAGGATTTTTTTTTATCCTGATGGCCATCCGTTGGAAAGGTCTTACTCAAACACAAAAGTACAGATTGCTTGCACTGATTATGTACTGCCCCCTATCACCAGAGAAAATACACATTGTCACTTTAAGTAAGCAGTTAGATCTAGAAATTCATAACTAGATTTTCTTTTCTAATACATCTATTCATCCATTTACCTCAGCTTATCTGAGGTCAGGTTGCAGGAGTAAAGGGTAAACACAGACATTTGCCTCCTCAGCTTCCTCTGGGGGATCCCAATGTATTCTCAGTTGGACGTGCCTCCTTAAGAGGCATCCTAATCAGAGGAGGAACAGTGCCTCCACTCTGAGCTCCTAGCAGCGGTTCTACTCCGAGTCCCTCTCAAATGTCCGAGCTCCTCACCCTATCTCTAAGGCTGAGCCCGGCCACCCTATGGAGGAAACTCATATCCGTAATCTTGTTCTTTCGGTCATTACCCAAAGCTCATGACCATAGGTGAGGACTGGGACATAGATCGACCGGTAAATTGAGAGCCTGGCTTTCTGGCTCAGCTCCCTCTTCACCACGACAGATCGGCTCAGCGTCCGCATCACTGCAGACGCCAAACCAATCTGCCTGTCGATCTCCCGATCCCTCCTACCCTCACTCGTGAACAAGACCCCGAGATACTTAAACTCTTCCACTTGAGTTAGGACCTCTCTCCCGACCCGGAGTTGGCAAGCCACCCTTTTCCAGTCGAGAACCATGGTCTCAGATTTGGAGTTGCTGATCCTCATCCCAGCCGCTTCACACTCTGCTGCAAACCTACCCAGCAAGAGCTGAGGGTCAGAGCTGGATGAAGCTAGGAGGACCACATCATCCGCAAAAAGCAGAGACGAGATTCTCCTGCCACCAAACTCGACACACTCTACACCACGGCTGCGCCTAAAAATTCTGTCCATAAAGGTAATGAACAGAACCGGTGACAAAGGGCAGCCCTGGCGGAGTCCAACCCTCACCGGGAACAGGTCTGACTTACTACCGGCTATGCGGACCAAACTCACGGTCCTCTGGTAAAGGGACTGAATGGCCCTTAACAGAAAGTCACCCACCCCATACTCCTGGAGTGTCCCCCACAGGGTGCCCCTGGGGACACGGTCATAAGCCTTCTCCAAATCCACAAAACACATGTGGATTGGTTGGTCAAACTCCCAAGACCCCTCCATCACCCTTGCAAGGGTATAGAGCTGGTCCACAGTTCCACGGCCAGGACGAAAACCACATTGCTCCTCCTTAATCTGAGATTCAACTATCGATCGGACCCTCCTCTCCAGTACCTTGGAGTAGACCTTTCCAGGGAGGCTGAGGAGTGTGATCCCCCTATAGTTGGAACACACCCTCAGGTCACCCTTCTGAAAGATGGGGACCACCACCCCAGTCTGCCACTCTACAGGAACTGCCAAAGGTGTCCATGGAAATTAACAACATTTCAAAAGTTTTTTATTGTCATATTATGCCCATTCAGGGGACCATGAGAGTGGCTGTGTGACATAAAAACCAACGTTCGATGATCGAGAAAAAGCAGTTTTGTGGCACTGGGAGTTTCGAAATGGTGTCTTTAAAGCACTGTGAAGGCTGGTTACTGTATTTTCCTTCCATTTTTATAAATGTTGGTTGTTTTGTGACATTAGCCGATATAATTTCCACTTCCATTTCAACTGACTTGCAACCAATCAGCAAGAGTTAGTCACAAGTCCCACCCAGTGACCCTGCTATGCCATTTGCAAGTTACCCAATTCAGGTATTCGGTTGATCCCTGAAATAGTCCTAAAGTGGTCCTAGCAACTTGTAGCAACTTGCACCATGTAAAAGTCACTCAGAATAAATAGTAACATGTAGATTTCTTAAATTCAATTACTTTTTAAGTCATATAATCTATTTAGAAGGTCATTTTAGTGCTGGTAACTTGTCAAAAACATACATATTCAATTTTACAGTGAAGGAAACCCAAATTTATATTTTTTACTGAGCCTAGACTTTCTGAGTCCACTGGATGCTCTTCACAAATCCCAATCTACAGAACAGGAGATGAGGTTTGAAATGAAATTTTTCAAATATCGTCTAAATCAACGCTGCTGGGTCCCTAGGAACTCCTGCCAAGTCTGAAATGGATTCAACGGTTGTTGAAATTACAAAGCAGCTTTCACGAGTTCTTCTGACATTCATGTTTTCAGGAGTGTTGTAGTTTTGCAGTAGATTATGGTCTTCCAAATCTGGAACACTTGACCCTTTCAAAATACAACATGAAAAGAAAACTGTGAATTTAATTTAATAATTTTTTCATAAATGTAAGGACGTGTTCCTGCAGTGCTTGAAAAGCCACCAAACCATCTGTTATGTGTGCAAACACAGAGGAACTGTAGTGTAAAGTGTAAAGTCACATGTGGTTTCACTTATTTCCTCTCCTTTCAGGATGAGGTGCTGACAGTAATCAGGCGAGTAGATGAGAACTGGGCAGAAGGCATGCTGGGAGACAAGATTGGTATCTTCCCTATTCTTTATGTCGAGGTAAGCTGACACACAGACAAAGAGCTGTAATGCTGCAGCAGTTCATTTATCACCATTTATCTTATCCTACCTTTGATAGAATAACACAAAATGCTTCTTTTATATATTCTTCTTATCAGAAATTCTTTTTTATTTTTATTTTATCAGTCAAATCAAAGAGAAACCAGCTAAAGCAGGTCATTTAGTCATTATTGTTTTACTCAGACGGTGTGTTCATATTAGGGATGTCCTGAAACAACTTTTTCACTTCTGATACGATACCAATATCGCAGCCTTCAGTATTGACCGATACCAATATCAATCCGATGCGATATCAGCACAAATCATACATACTTTTACATATTTCGTAGTGTGGAATGTATGAAAGGCTTGATCAAGTGACATTACTCAATCAGAGAACAAGAGCCAATAACAGTAAGTATGAAAAAATGACTATTGTTTTCAACCAGTGGTTGCAAAAATGTGAACCTCAACGGAGTGCTTATATCGAAGATTTTTGATGCCGTCCGATATAATCTGATAGTGTTTTGGGGCCAATATCGAATTACTTTCGATATCAATATTGGAACGGGACATCCCTAATTCATGTGTGTTAAATTATATTTTATACCTGATGTTTCCCATTAAAATTGGATACAGTGGCATCTAAAACTGAAAAGTTGTCCAGATTCAACCAAACACAATTTGTTCAAGGAAAGTGAACGATATTAGCGATGCTGTTTGACATTTAGCTGTAATGAAGCTTTTCCTAAAGGATGTCTTCGTGGTAAAAGGATACAAAATTTGTAACACCCAACATATTTCACCTTCTCTCGTCACGCCACGCTTGTCAAGAGTGAAATATATTTTAAATCCATGTGCAGCTGAAGAAATATTATGCACGCTTTTGGCTGGATCTTATTTAATGCTCTTAAGCGGTATTAAAAGAGACTTTTTTTTAAAAAGAGAAATGTGTTTTCTTCTTTTCTCCTCCCATTAAAACAGTAATGGGAGCTTTCCGATTCCCTCGTGGCTCTGTCAAAGAGACGTAATAAAACCTTCGGAACTGAAAGGAAACTCAAAGTGAAAAGGGTTTTTAGTTCCTTTGACTCCATAAGTTTTTGACAAGGTCATCCCAGTGTTTTAGGTGAAATGGAAATCCGCCTAGTTTATGTTGATCTTTACACAGGAACATGACAGAAAGAGGAAAGAAAGAAAGAAAGAAAACAATCTTTTCTATAGCGCCTCAAGATAAAAATCAGGAGGCGTTTCACAAAAACAAAAAAGAATTAAATATAAAAAAGATTTAAAAAAAAAGATCAAAAACATGTTTAAAATTTGCAAAAATAGACAATTGTGATTAAATCAGTGAATCCTGGGGAGTGTAGAATAGGTGGGGAGAGCAGAATAAGGAGAGGGTGGTGATGAAGGTCACGCAAAAGCCTGAACAGGTGAGTTTTCAGCTGCTTTTTGAAGGAGACCACTGAGGCCTAGTCCACACGTAGCCGGGTTTTTTAAAAAACGAATATCCGCCCCTCCAGAAACTTGCATCCACACCACCTCGTTTAAAAAAAAAACTGTCCACACATACCCGGATAAATACGTTGTTAAGGACATGCCAGACCTGTAGGCGGCAGTACTTCCCCCGTTCTTAACCTCGTCCTTCGTCTGTGGTCTTCCGCAAGGAGCAGTAATTCCGCTTGCAGAAACAAACAAGCAAAAAGTGCTTGGACAATTGATAAAGCGAGCGCAGCTCTGAGGGCATCCATGATGTCGGCTAGTGTAAACACCGGTCGCACACGTGATGTCAGCATTTTTTTGTCGCGGAAAGTGACTTTGCGGACCTTAAAACTCCGGTTTTGTCTGTCCGCACACAAACACCCAAAACGGAGAAAACGCAGATCTTCACTTTGGCCGGAGTTTTTCAAAAGATCCGTTTTCGTGTGGATGACAGGCCTAAACGTAGAAAAATATCTACGTTTTGGCAGATCCCCGGCTACGTGTGGACAGGGCCTGAGTCCACTGATCTCAGGCTCAGAGGGAGAGAGTTCCAGAGTCTGGGGGCCACAGCAGCAGATGATCTGTCACCTTTGTTCTTTAAAGACCAAGGTCACTTGTGTTTTTTTTTTCATCACATTTGCACTGGTCTCTAATGTAAATGAATGCCTTGTAAGTCCAATTCTGTGGAGAGGAAAGCTCTGGCACTATGTGCCCGGGTAGCCAGATCTGCTTGGGATAGTAGATTTGCTGGATTTCATAGGAACCATGGATGAATTTACAAAGAAATGCATCATTACTTTTGCAACTGATATTTGGTCCAATGAATGATCCCAGACTGAACACCATAAACAAAATCTACATAAATTAATTTACCAACTTGAAAAAATGTATTTTGGGGAATTATATGAAATGAGGCGTAATTACTAAACAAACAGAAAATATACAACGTGAAATAAAGTAAACAGAAAAGTTAAACTCTTGCATGTTAATTAAACAAATTTTTGTTGGTAGTCTGATCCAGATTTTAGTGCTTAGCTGGGTAAAAAATCAGGTGCAATGTACTTTGTTTGAGGGACATGGCTGTAGGGTGACATCATCGACAGGCGCAGGCCCCCGAGATCTGGTGCCAACAACTATAAGTAGATGTAGCATTAGCTGCAATATGCTAACAATATGCTAAGCGCTAATGATGCTAACGTAATTACCATAGGGTCATAGGTAAGTCATGATGGCAGAATAAAGCTAGATATAATCAAATAAACACAAACTTGTACACAAACAAAAGTGTGATCAGGCTCAGTGTGTCACATTTAAAACAGTCCTGGTGGAAACAGAAACTATGTTTTTTAATCTTTTCTTACAGACAGTTCTGTGATTTCTTTGGCAGATCGTCAGCATGTTCAAATCCTTAAGTTTAATGGAATCAAAACATCTCCCTCTATTTGGGGTTTTGGCTGTAAAACTGTACATTAGAACTTCACATGATCATCCAAGTCAAGAAGCTCAAGGAAGGCTGAGAAAGTGAGATTTATTTGCAAAATTAGGAGATATTCAGTAATGTTTTATCCATTTGTTATAAATGTGGCATATTTTCATTTGTTCCAATAAAACACATACGTTCATTTTAATATACAGATGCAAATTAAGCCCTAATTCTCTTTTTGAGAGCCTTTAATCTCACAGTGCACTCACCACACTCATTTTCTCAATCTGTCTAAGCCCACAGCCTACTCAGACTTGGAATCTAGGCCACCCAATCACGAATCCCTGACATTAGCTGGTTGACCAAACCACTCTCTTAGTGGGCGTCATGATTAAGCCGTAGACTCCACGAGGATCGGGACAAACACACAGACACACAGGGGATCCCATTAGATGGAGATGTATCAATAATTTAAACCTCTCCATCACTTTGACACAGCAGGGGGGCAGGAGTCTGTGTATGTGTGTATTAGCTGTACGAAGCTAATGAGGGAGCCCAGCTGGAACCCTCTGCTGATCTGGATGATTGTGTGCGTGTGTGTGTGTTTCTGTGTGTGTACAGAGTACAATTTTAATACTCCTGTTGATATTTTACAGTCTTGGCAAAATGACATGGGAAGTTAGTGAGGTGAACAGCAATTTGGAGTCAGTGTGCAGAAGTGTATCCATCTCAGAATAGTGAGGAGGTATAATAGAGGGTTTATGAGCAGAGTGAGGAGATCTTGCAGCAGTTCGCAGAGATTTACAGCTGCGGGAGGTGGAAACCGTAAATGCTGTTTATCCTTTTCACTAAAAAATCAAGGACGAGAAATGAATATGAAAATACAATGCACTAAACACCAACCGCATCCTGAAGAACCACGTTTTGAACTCACTATTTATCAGGGATGTCCTGATCCAGTTTTTTTGCCCTCGAGTCCGAGTCATTGGATTTTGAGAATCTGCTGATACCGAGTCCCGACTCGATACTTCCGATACATAAAAAAGCCGAAGAAACAGATCCAGGAGCAAGGTTAAAATTAAGTTATAATTTTAACCTTTAACAACTCTGTTAACAAACGAAGAGAGCACTTCTGTGAGGTAGCTTGAACAATCAAGTAATGAATAATATAATTTCTTCACTTTTGGACTTTAGTGGAATAGCAAATATAAAAAAAGTCTAATATAAAAACAAAAAGCACTTCAACTTAAAACATTTGGCAGGGGTCTATTTTGCCTTGGCCCCCAAAATGCCTTGAAACAGCCCTGGGTGTGGGACAGAGTTTTGAAGGTGATCTCAAAAATATAAATTATTGCTTTATAGATGTAAAACATGCTGTGGGATAAATCTACCTTTTCGTTTTCCAGCACTTGTCTCTTTTTTTGTTTGACTATTTTCCTGTCCTGTCTGTTTCTGGTCTTCCTTCATCTCCTCCAAATCCTCCAGAAAAACGGCAGCCTGGCTTTCTCCTTTTTCACCTCATGAGCTACTTTTTAACTGAGCACATCAAAACAAGTGTGCGCTGTGCGGCTGCGCCCGTGAAGTGAACTCACCGGAGCACGGGTGATGAGCTCCACTGTAGCGGATCGCATCAGGCACGAATGAAAGACAGAGAGTACCAGAGAATATGAGCAGACATTACCGATCGTGTGTTAATTATATTTTTTTGGTTGTACTGTGGCCGTGCGCAGAATGCAGCTTCCTGAGGAGCGCATCAACAATCAGCGCTCTGCCGTTCTCTGCCTCTCTGCTCAAAAGAATCCCTGGTACGCTGAGAGTCCATATAAATAATGTATTACAGGTAGAAACAGTTTCAGGCTCCCTCTGGGTGTGGAAGTTGAGGGCTTCTAGGCGAGCCTGTCACCCTTTCAGGAGAACTGGGTTCCCCTTAGCTGCCCTGTAATTTGAACACTGTATCCGAGTTCGAATCTGGAGTTAATGTCGTATTCCGATCGAGTCTAAAACCACGTGATCAGGACCAATTTCTGATGAAGTGATCGGATCTGGACATCCTTACTGTTTATTCATATTTCTACACCCGGTTTCACTAGTTCGTGTT